AGGTCATTCAATGGAGGAGTTAATGAGCCGATATAATTTGAAATTTCTTTCATCTCAATTAGTGGAAGGCTTGAATGAGGAAAAATAAGTAAAATATTTTGGAATGAAACATTTGTTACTTAAAAGGTCTTAGTACTACTTGATTTTACCAACTGATTTTTTCATTATAATGCAAAATGATATGAAACATTAAGGATCCGAAAATGTAGAGTGCTTTTGATTGATAAAATGGAAATATTTTAGGAATGAGCAATTATTCGAGTAACGCAAATGATGTCAATAGAGCGTTACTTTCTCAAAGCCCTAAAGACAACGACGGAAAGCCAGAGATACTGAGAAGCAAGAAGACGGCTAATGAACTGCTATTAATTAACTGCTATAAATATACTCCCCCCCTCACCCTTGGAGGAAGCTGAAGTCAAAGTTTAAGGACTAGTGATAAATATCACAAAACCTGCCATTTGAAATAATAATAACTTTCTCAAAGCCAAAGGAGTCATCAACCACTTCGTTGTTATGGGCAAATAATCCAATGCAATTTGAATGCCAATATTTAATTTCACAGATATATCGAACAAAATTTAATTCCAACATATTTAGCTAACTTCACGAAATCACAATTTGGGAAGAAGAATAAACTTTTTTAGCAATAAGATGAGAGCTCAGACAGTCACTAAATGCAAAATGGACTTATAACAAGCATTGCAAGGTAAATGATTTCTGAAGAAGAATATTTCACATGTCAAAAAAGAGCATGGCGAATGTATTATGCTAATTTTAATCAAGTTGATAAAGTCTCTCATTAAGTTAACTTGAGTGATTATCAACCAGATCCTATGAGAGAAAATAGCAACGTGAAATATACAAGTTGAAAATGTATTGATAAAATCACTAACCGTGTCACGGTAAGATTGATGGGTTTTCGTTCATGAACTAATTTTGAGATAAATAAAGATTTGAATTGATAATTCGTAATAAGTAGAATTTGAGATATACGAATTCATCCACCCTCTGAATGAACTCCAATGCTCATTTCCCTCCCCAAACACATTTCTAATATTTGTCCACAGAATGTTTGAAAATCAACCATTAAATAATGTTAGAGGAGAAACATTTTAACTCAAATTAAGAAAAGGACTTCATGGTGTGCTTGTTTTGACTGATATACACTTGACTGTCATTGAAACGTGCTGAAATTGCAGGTTCTATAACGTCAGACCGTCAGCAACGAAAATTCCGTTTTGTGCAATTGGTTCATCACCAACGCAGCTACTATTTTGTGAAGTTATTTCATTACAGTATAATTCATTGCAACTCTCAAACTTGCCGCTATCATTACTATCCCACCAACACATCTTTCTGGCATTCAGCTAGAAGAGAGAAGCTCCAAGGCAAACTTACTGTGATCCACCATGAGTTTTGGCAAGAAACATCGGCCGTCTTAGTTAATGGGAGATGTTAAACTCAATTATGTGTCCGATTCCCATTCAATCGTTTTCAATCTCGTGGGTGCCTATGCAAATTCACGCAAGATACAGGCGATCGAAAAAGACCTCTCACCTTCTTTGATGAATGTAATTTGTAGGTCTTGAATTCTTTTCTAGTAACAAGAATATTAGAGGTTTAGCGCAAAATCATCCATGAGGCGACGGTATAATGACACAGCTTATGCTTCACAAGCGTTCCACAAACCATTTGCAAGAGGAACTTATTGGGATCTACCAATGAGAATGCTCGGGGTTTGGTTCAGAGTATTGACAGATCTTTCTTCCTTTATACATACCGAATCGATCGATGTCTAATTGATCAATTAGTTTCTTAGTTATGGGCTCCAAAGCGCAAGAAATTTAGTTCCCTCAAAATAATGAATGTAGCTTACATGCACTTTATAATAGAAATTTCTAGGCTTTCTTCTTCGTATTTTAATCTCATAATGAGATGGAATTATAACTGCCACGCATTTATCAATGACGAATTTAGATCAATCAAGTAGACAACTGTCACTTTTGCATGTTTATCTGAGTTCATATAATGTTGTTTAATGACGGTTTTATCAGCAGAATCAAATGACGAATGTGCTATTTGTAACTAATTTGTTTCATATTATGTGTGCAATCCGTTCCGATCAACTATGTTTCCAAAGAAGCAAAACTATTTTGTCATCAATGATACTGTAATTCATCAAGTGGGATCATAACGTGGTCTTGATGGTACGAAGTAAGACTCGCTGCTTTCCTTTTGAAATTGAAAATTTTGACTACTTATTTATCATGAATAATTTACGACGTGTTGGAAAGGGTAGTATGAAATTCACTTAAAAATTTTATAATAAACTTGACATTTTCCAACGTTATTAAAATATTTGAGGCTGTTATTTTCGATATATAAGGAACATAAAATCACAACTCTTTTCATGAACATTTACAAAAAATGGATGCCATAAACAGCAATAATTCGACTCACTTTATCAAACCAATTTCATATTTCAGGGAGTTGTCATCATTTGCAATCTCGTTGCAATTAAATCGCAATATCGTAATTCGCACTTTTCAAAACAATTGGCTCTAATAAAATAGCTCCCATTTTCATATTCAACTAACACTTCCACTTATTTATTTCAGTCATAAATTCCCTTAAACAATTGCCATCATGGTAATGAGGACTAATCTCTTCAGCACAAATGACACTAGCACACAATGGTTCCTTCAATTTGTGTCACCCTCCAAGAATGATTTTGATGTACTTTGGGTTAAACGATCACCTTCCCATAAATGTTAAGCAATGGATATAAAGAATGGAGATAATTCGTTCAATAAAGAAAGATAGCAAACTTTTACACATGCTTACATATCTTATCTCATAAAATAATGTTTGAATTTGAATTGAGAAAATTTTGATGTCTTATGTCAAATTTTCAATTTATCTCTTAGTTCAACCATTCAATCGGCATTCTTGAATACTAAATAGCAAAGTTTGGTAAGAATGATTTAAAATAAATAATTACAAATATAGGCCTTTGCAAAATTCCTTAAAATTTACTGAAATTTGGTACGGAAATTATTTTTTCAGCCGAATATTGGGAAGGAGTTAACAGAAACACATTTACTAAATCGATAGGTGTCGAATTGTTCAATCAGGACCTTAGTTATTAGCTTCAAACAGGGGAACTGTAAGGAGAACAAAATGAGATTCAACTTGGCATGCTCTTTTTCATAGAAATTTGCATACTTATCACTTTGTATTTTTAACACCTATTGACACGTGTAAAGATGACAAGACCAACCGACATAGGCCTATATTTGAACATCTAAAGTAATTGGATACATACGATTTCGGTCGTTGTGAGCAAATCGTTGTTAGGATTAATTCATTCTATAAAGTTGATCAAAGTGAGCGTGACAATTTTTGATGAAACAGCAATTGAATATGGGAATATTTTTAAACCGATCATCGGAATCAGCAACCAATGACTTCTTTGGCAATTAGTCGATTCCGTTGGTTGTGAAATTTGTTGCTCCAGATGTGCCGATATTTCCTGCGAATGAGACGATGATATTTAATTACACTACACCTTTATCAATTATTCTATTATTGTTTCAGTGATAAGCAGACAATTTTAATGGCCATGTTCCAGGCATTGCTGCAAACACAATCGAAACATTGAGGGTCGATTTTGAAAAGCCACTGAACAACGCATTATTTCTCAATGTGTGATCGTGGGATTTATCTGCGGAAAAGGAACTTTGATAGCAGAAGTTGATCATGAGTTTTGAAAGGTTGCTTGACTTAAGTTAAAGGAGGGGATTTTCAGTTCATTAGCGTACAAATTTTGCTTTATAAGAATATGGATATTTGGAGCAATATTTTTTGACAAGTAGTCTATTTTATTGCAGCATTCTCATGTCACATGAATTAAAGCTTCCTGTCAGTCAATTATGATATTCAGAAGCCTTTTTATGACAAAACATTGATTTCACCTATTTGCTCAGCAAATTAAGAGCGACCTCTTGAATTCCACGTAACTACTGTGCCAATAAACCAACGTAAAGCAGATCACATTGGTGGCAGCACCGACTCTACTTGATTAAAGAACAGTCAATTACACTTTGACTTCTGTTAGACTTCGTGCCTATTGAATTTAGTTCCTCGCCAAAATAAAGGCTTCACAACTTGGTAAATTGCTGAAAATTATACCCATGACGAATCCATTTCGCCCTCATGTGTATTCTCCGTTTGTCGATCAAACTTAGATTTGAGTGGTTGATTCTGGTGTTCTTACAACAATGGAAGTTAATGTAAACCACTGACTAAACCAAAGTAATTACTGGCATTGACATCTGTTGGCAAATAAATTTATAGCATTTAAAATGAGAAAATGTTGTATTTGCAGAAAATATAATAATGTTTACTTTTTATTTGAAAAGGCATTTTCTATAGATTCATTGACATACAGGTTTTATTAGCCAATTTTCAGAATTAATTAATTTATTTATTTTACTTGCACATATATATATATATATATATTTCACAATAAAATTATCCAATAATACTAGTATATTAAGTCAATGGTTGCGTAAATGACAATTTGAAAAGAAATATGAATACAAACGTGTAAGATCTTTCACAATTTGGACAATTTTAAAGAGGTTTTATATAATGGGGTTATTAGCTTTTGGAAGTTGCTATAAAGAGAAATTGTTCATTAGCTGAAAAAGAGCATTTTAATTTCAAAATGTCAAAGAAATATCAGTCACAATTTCGAGAACGAACAACTCGTACGTACACACATATATAAATATATAATCACATAATATTTTGTTGAAGAGAAAATTGATCCCAGAAATATCTCAGGTCAATAATTGAGTTGATCCATGTTTCAAAGGAAAGTAAGTGGATTTGCGAAAGAATATGAAGTGGAGATAATTTTAACAAGAACATGAAAGTGCACCAACATTAAAGCGATGAATTAATGCATGCAAATAGTTTACCACAAACGAATTCTAGGAATTCTTACCTTGGCATTCATTGACCTCAGAGGGAACGCCTTCAAGGAAATAAATTGAATAATTTATTCATTTTAATTATGACAATAAGTGTAATTATTTTGTATTACCTGAATTCTTCCAGTCCAGAGTTATAGCAACGGAACTGACGTCGGTACCCCACTTGTAGGTCACGTAACTTTCCACTCCCTTGTTCAGTCTAATTGTCACATTTGATATGAGAATGTTGTTGTCGGTTGTAAGATGAGCTGAAAGATAAGTTTCAATTGGAAATGGGAATGAAGCGACAGTCAGCTTTATTCACAATCGCTTACGACAAAGATTTACATTCGTTGATACACCGTCGTTCCAACTGCAAATTATTGACGAATCCTCGTATAGATTTATCTGCAGGGAACCAAATGCAACTATGGAATCTTTGTTCATTGGGATAAATAATTCAATGAATAATTTAAAATAAATAATTATAAAGTCTATGATTTGCAAACGTATACAGTTTTAGTATTTGTTCGATTGAAAATACTGAATTCCAGAGCAACCGATGTTTCGCCTTGCAAATACTGATAAAGTGGTATTAGGGGAGGGATAAATACAAAACCTAAAGTAAAAAGATTAATTTATTTTGAAAATATTATCTCTATAAAAGAATTTGGTTAATAATAATTTCCCACAGCATTATTTTATTACTTTATGTGTTAACTCAGAGTAGCTTCTTCAAGTTGGTTGTTGGACCAACATTAAGAAAAGCATATTGATCACATACCGGATGTTGGTGGAGGAAATTGGCAGTCATCGACGAAGTACACCGAATAAATATGGGTTCTGTCTGATAATTCGATATATTTGTATTGGTCAACGTCGTGCAGAGAAATTGTAGCTAAATTCAATCCTAAAATGAAGTTTTTACATAAATTAAACCATTCAATTTTGGAAAAAACTTTTCACTTTCATTCTTAAAACCTGATGCTCCAATTTAAAAGCACAGTAATAAAAATCAAGTAATGCACACCCTATTGCTAAGGCTCCAGGGTTCAGATGCATCAATTTCCGTGAATTTACTTCCCGAGCCAGCCAATCAAGTAGATAGATGGGACAGTGGTAAAGAAGTATAGGGAGTATTCATTTCTTAAAACAATAGATGAGCATTGGGCAATTGTAGGCTGAGGCAAAATGAGTTCTCAAATGACACGGAAGCTCGATTGATCTCAAACGATTACTCCGAGGGTCATTACGACACTACTTTGACAGACTCGAACTGGGATGCTGTTTACACTATTAGGTATTTTGGATATGTCAATAAAGTGCAATTTCACTGCCGAAGAAGTCATTTATACGTTCAAAATCTTTGGAATTACATTTCACTAGTCCAAATGTTACTCAATTTTTACAATTGATATTACAACAGATTTAACATAATTGTGATATGCAAATAATAAAATCAACCCAAGATTTTATTCCAAGTCAGTTCTATCTTGACGTGACTTCCCTACCGTTTTGATGCATTCAGGGGAGACTAATATATGCATTGGCTATAGTTCCAAAACAACAGGATGCCTTAATAAAACGCATTCACTTTTCTAGCAGATTTACCTTAATTTAAATTTTCCAGTCCTGCAATTAACCCAAATTTTAATCTCTCCAAATCTAAGCAACGTATCTTGTTTCAAATTAGCAGATAAAATATTGCGACACAGGAAAAGTAAAACAAAACATACTTGTGTCAAAATTGCACGGCCTTCCGACTTTCGAGATCCCAACAACACAATTATCATTGGAATCTATTGTAAACTTCTTCACCTTCCCTTCCTTATAATTAATTTTGCCCTCCTAAATAAACGCGAAATAAGAAAGTTCAGTTTTAGTGAAAGCAAATACTACTTATAATTTTCGGTGTTTCAAAAAAAATGAAACTGAATGTCACTCACTGGAGATTGTAACATTCTAAAATTCAGGGGACCAACTGGACCCGTACTGGTAGTGACAATTCTTGAGCCATAAACCTCTTGGCTTTCAGCATCTAAGGTAAAGAAACCAAGTATTACAAATTTTTTGTTAAATGCCATTTAATACATCGATTCCGATTAAATGGGCCAGAGTAGTGTGAAGCAAAACAACGTACTTCCATAAAATTTGGCGAATATCAAAAAGAATAGAGTGAGAAGCATTTCTATAACAGAGTAAAACGTTGTTGAATTATTGGAGCATATATACAGTACCTGGAATGATTCTAATTGGTTGAACGCATTGGTAAAATGCGATGCCTTCTCAGTAGAAATTGGAAATAATTCCTAATTAAATTCAAACAATAATCTTAATATAGACACATTCAAGCCTTGATAAGACAATTTTTTAATTATTAAAAGTTTGAAATAATTAATCAACGAAGAACATCGTACCAATTGATTCCCAAATTTTGAATTGAAAGTTGAGTTGTTCATGAGAGTGAAAGGAGTGTATTTTAATTTCCCGATCTCAGCTTTTAATTTCTTGACAAAATTGTGTTCCCATTATTCAACTTTTAGTCGTTTTCTGTTCATCAAAAATGTCACACTAACTCTGATCAATTTTGAGAACGAATTAATCAAAACGATAGCTTGGTCACAAAGATCGAAATCTTATGTAACCACTTACGTTAGGTTTCCAAATTTAAACTTATGCTGGTTGGTCTTAAATTCTTTACGAGTCTCAATAGGTGATTAGAATACGAAGTGTAAAGTACACAAATTCCGATGTTAAATTGCTTGCCACTTAAATTCTCTTTCTGCACAAACTACAGTTCTTGCTTTTTGAAGCTAATAACTAAGAACCTAAAAGATCAGTTCGATAACTATCGAAAAAATAAATTACGTACCTAATATCAGTAAATTTTAAAGACTTTTGAAAAGGTCTATAATTTTTATTATTTAATTTAAGTTATATTCACCAATCGTTGCTATTAGGTTCTCAAGAATGCCGATTGAATGGTTGAACTAAGAGATAAATT